CCCCTCTGCTGCTGCTGCTGCTGAGGCGGTCTCTGTGCCTGCTGTCGTGGCTGCTGAGGCTGCTGCTGAAGCTTCTTCGGGCATCGGTTCGCAAAGTTTCCCGGCTCCTGGCAAAAATAACAGATGTCCTGTCCAGCCCGACACTTTCCCCTGTGAAGTCGACCACAAGTCGGGCATGGTGGAATCTTCTGCAGCCTCCGTCGGGTCCTCTTGTCTGCCGGGGCACCTTTCCCCTTTCTTTTGTTGTTCTTTGGCGGCTGGGTAGCTGGAAAAACTGGTGGAACTGCGACTGGCTGAGCTGGGGCAGATGGCTGTGCACGATCACGAACGGCCTCCCTCCTAATGCTAGCGTCAACCTCCTGGGCGATAGAGACGGCTCGTGCATACGTCTGAGTCCCGTGTCCCACAATGTTATGACGAACTGCTGGGTAAAGTCCGTCAATGAACCGCTGAGCTCTCTGGGCCTCCGTGCGAACAAGATCCTGTGCGAAACCTGCAAGTCTGGTGAACTCACGCTCGTACTCATCGACAGTACGAGTGCCCTGCTGAAGCGCTAAGAACTGGCGCTCCATCTCTGCCCGATAGTAAGAAGGGTAGTACTTGTCGCGGACTAGATTCTTGAACATGTCCCATGTACAACCCGCTTTTTCACCGGGACGCATGCTTCAGTAGGCGTTCCACCAGAGCCTCGCATCGCCAGTGAGCTGAAGCTGAGCGCAAACTACGCGATATCTATCGGGGTATTCCATAACCTCAAAGATAAACTCCAACCCCTGAATCCATTCATCGACGATATCGCCCTGACCTGAGAACTTCTCTGCGTGATAGTCGCGGAACTGGGCTACTACCGTAGCCTGAGTAGGACCCTGATGATCGGGCTTTCTACGTGGCGGCATCTGAACATTGAGAAAGATTTAACATTACTGAATATGCGATAACATTACTGACTGATTACTAAGCATACAGATCTCTTGACGAGTTGCCAAAAATTGGCCGATAATTACTGACGTGAAACCTGAAAAACTCTAGAGTCATCTCGGAAAAATCCTAACGTCTAGAGTCATATCTGAATGCCTGAATTCTAGAGTCATGTCCAAACTCTAAGGTCTGAATCTGATTTGAGCATCTTAACTAAAGTCCTGATCCTCAATACTGAGCATAGACAAAGTAATATGTTTATAATAACTGAAAAACTGAATTGCAACAGCACTTACCTGTCGTCGGCGGGGCGTGAGCATGACTGTTCGGGTTTTCTGAAAAATTACTGACTAAAAACTTTTCTGACTGAAAACTTATCAGAGACGCAGAAACGTGCTCTG